GGAAGTCTTTCATCCTTGCAACACATAATTTTTAAATAAGTCTAATACGAAGATCGATGATTGATATTAAAATCGCCTGAATAAGAATCGAGATTTTGTCAGAATCTGGCACAGTTCCCAATATTTAAAATTCCTAAAATCAGCCAAACGTACATAAAATCCTAAAATCAAACAGTACGTGTCATCATCAGAAAGACGGGGAAGTCATTCTCTCACACTTACGCGCGTCAAAAAGTTAAACATAGAAATACTGGAAATAGGGCTGTTTTCCTGAGTTTTCGATACTTTTCAAGGTCATTTCGAAATTTTCAAGGATTTAATATCATTTTCAAGTACTTCTAGGGGCCCTTGAAAATCAAAATGAAATTCAAGTACTTTTCAAGGCTTTTTCAAGGCCGCGGGAACCCTGGTATATGACTTATAAACTGCGCTGAGTTCGTGCCACTGCGCGGTGGAGCGTAAATACTAGTTTCACCCCAATAAATATACGTTTATTAATTTATGTTTTATAAAGAAACTGATATTGAGTCAATTATAAAAAGAAATTCACGCATTTTACATACTCAATTAGGTATGTGTGATTCGCGTATTGAGAACTGTTTTTTTTTTTTTTTTAAAACCCACAATCGACCCTTCCGATTCGGATCGACCCCCGCTTTCGTTAAATAGACCCCTGGGGGTCTATATAGACCACTTTGGCGACCTCTGATCTAGAGTAACTTTCTTATTATACAATAATACGATACTATCAGGTAGATGGTGCATCTAAATTCAGCACTGCAAGCAGCGATATCTTGACTTGATATCAAGATCTGTGACACTAATAGGTAGATACTGCTCTACAATGAACGAAGTAAAATAATTTCAACCCGCTTCAATTCCGTGCGCATAATATACTTGCTAATGCTTTCATTTTCATATTCGGCTAAATCTTGTCTCTTCGTGCGTACATGACCATTTATATCGCTTTTACCGACATGTGCTATTTGAAAATTTAGTCCGCAAAAATACATGATGCTGCGATTTGTTGGAATTATGCAACAAAATCACACCGCAATTCATGTGCATCAAATCGTAAACATAAATAACATCGTCGTTGCCAAAAAGCGCACATAATCTAAAATCTTGGGACATAATGAGTTAGCATTGCTTATCCATCAATATTGCCAATTGTGGTCACGTGATCCCATATGTCAGAGGTCCTGCTGGCTCAGTTCGCATATTCTCTCTCATTGATTGTGATTGACACCCAAAACCAACTTTTACAGCTTGTCTTGTCTCTGGCTAGTTTCTAAGCCAAGAGTCTCATAATTGATATTAAAAATTTTCTATATCTTTGAATTTGCAATTTAAATAAGCATGTTGATAATTTTATTAATTTCTCTTTTTCTTTTTTTAAAAAAACTTAAGAACTGTAAAGAAATAAGAAATCATATGATTTTAACACTTGCTCGTACGAATAGGTAAAATGCCGTACACTTCACATTGAAACAGTACAATTAGATTTAATAACTAATGGACACAGTAAAATATTTTTTATGAAAATAATAGTTTTACACACACAGGGTTCCCCCACTTAAAAAAAAAAATCCTTGACTTTTCCAGGTACATTTTAATGAGAATGCACACAATTGTTTTTTTATTTCTATACCATGCTATTTTTCATCAGAAAACTGTTTTATCAGTAATATCAAATATTAGATTTTGTGAACAAAAACATATCATAGAATGAGAACGTGATAAAGTTTCACTAGAAGGTGAAATTTTATAAAATAGTTGCAATAGATGTTAGAATTATTTTAATCGAAACTCAATAACTGATTACTGTTATTGACAATTTTAAGACTGGTTACTTTCCAGGAATAATATAGGAATTTTCCAGATTTTTTGTAAAAATTTTTTTATTTCCCAGACTATTATTAGAGCTAAAATAAAGCTCACTGACAATTCCAGGTTTTTCCTGACATGTGCTCAGATAAAATTACAGTAGATTTTCATCTATTTCTGTGGATAATTTATTTTTCTGCTAAATTAATTTCAGTGTTCTTATGATATTTAGTGTTTTTGAATAATTTCTTTTCAATTAATTTTTTGTTAAGAAGCTGTGCCAATTAATTTTCAATTTTAATGTTAGCTTGTTAGAGTAAACTTAAAAACATTGATTGATCCTTTGCAAAATTCCTAAATACACATTTTAGGGATTTTTCCCCCCACTTTATATTCTCATAAATGAAAAAATAATTTTTTTTTAATCAAATGGAAAAAGAAAATGTTCCAAGGCAAAGAAAAGCTTTACATATAATTTTGAAAAATTAATAAAAATAAAATTGAGAATCTTAATTTTAAAACAATATATATATATATCTATAATTACTAATTAAACAATTTATACTCGAAACACAGCTATTTTTACAATGAAATTACACATCATTGTTAATGATAAAAATCTAAGTAATTAATTGCTTAACTTACCCATCTACTTTGATCAGAAAGAAGAATCATATATAGGGAAGTAAGCTCTTTACAACGTATTTCTCTAGATACGACACAAGACACAGGCATGAAATTTTCGGCACAAGCTTTTCGTACACACCATGCACTATCTTCACACAATGTAAAAAATTTAGGTAGCTAGAAGAAAATATTACTGTTACTCCTTAGTTGCTATTTAGAATTTTTTTTTCTTCTTTAAATAGAAATTAACTAACCAATAATTCTTCAGTCAATTCCCTGCCCACTGCTGTACAGATATCTCCAAATGTTGAGGCACATGCCTAAAAATGTAAGAAATTTATTTGAATAAAAATAGGCATTGAAAACATGCAATAAATTATAACTAATAATAAAAAAAGGCTAGACAAGACAATTATATTTTGTCTGGAAAACTGAAGAGCTTGCAACCTTAAACTTATGCTTAAACAGAAACATATTTAATACTTACAATGATTATTAATATTTTTCTTTAAAAATATACATAAAAAACATTAATTGAAGAAAGTAATTATATTTCTTAAAACATTTTAAATAAACCTGAAATGCAACAAAATCAGAGTTGGCAAAGTTTAGGACAGAATGGATTAATCCATAGTTTACTCAGTCTTGTCCAAAATCCTTTTTTCTTAAACTGTCTAAAATCATTTTGCTCAAATTATGTCATAATTTTAAAAAAAAGCATTGTGAAAAATAAAATGATAATTTCTAAACAAGAAACAAAATGAAGAAATTTTTTTTTTTTGTTTCATTAAAGAAGTTTTATTATTTTTAATATTGCATTACTTATCTTTGCGTGAAAACATGATTTATCAGTATTAAAAGCATACACATTCATATTTAAGAGATAAGGTATTCATTCACCTTTGCTGTTCAATGAATTGTGGAGAGTAAAAAGTTATCTTTTCCTGTTATATTATTTTTTTTAAGTTTAAGCAAATTGTATAAAAAGTATCAAATATTTAGTAATATAAATAATTATTATGTGTTACACATATAGAATTTTTACATTTTAGTTTTGTTCTAGTTTTTGGACACTTTACGACAGTTTAGGACAATTCAAGACAGTAAAACCCATGTGTCCTGTCCAAAACCAGTTTAGGACGTCCAAAATACAGTCAATTCGCTATAACTCGAAGTACGATAACTCGAATATTAGTATAACTCGATTTTTTTATGAGATCCCGACCCTTTTATCTTCAATTTCATGTTAATTATTCTCTATTACTCGAATTTTACTCCCTTTAACTCGATTTTTTTGGGATCTTTTAAAGCAAGAAAAAAAACCTAGGAGCTGATATCTTGCCCCTTCCTTTGCAACACACACACAATGTCTTTCGCACTCTTCATGGAGAAGCTAAAGCTGTCCCTCTTGAAGTATGTGAACAGTGGTTAAATGAAACGTTACCAAATTTACTTCAAGGATACAGTTAAAATGATGTTTTCAATATTGATGAAATGGGTTTATTTTTTAAATGTCTTCCAAATAAGACTATGATGTTTAAGGATGAAAACTGCTCAGGGGGTAAAATGAGCAAGGAACGTTTGACTGTCCTAGTTGGAGGAAATGCGTCTGGGACAGAGAAATTGCCCTTACTTGTTATCGGAAAATACCGAAATCCCCGATGTTTCAAGAATGTAAAAACGTATCCTTTGGATTACAAGTCTAACAAAAAGTTTTGGATGACATCAGTTTTATTTGAAGACTATGTAAGAAAATTGGATCGGAAATTCTTCGCTAAAAAAAGAAAAGTGATACTCTTTATGGATAAATGCACAGCGCATAGTGATCTACCTAATTTGAAAGCAGTAAACTTGCAGTTTCTCCCGCCAAACACAACAGCAAAGTTGCAGCCGATGGACCAGGGTATCATAAAGTGCTTCAAACAGTCTTATCGTAAATGGCTTGTCAGAAAAATGATCTTAAATATTGTAAGCATTTAGAAGATTTGTAATTAATAAGCATTAATTAAATAATCCGACAATATTTTGAAAGTCCAAAACCGAAACTAACGGTAAGTCGAACTTCCGATATGTCGAAGTTTTTCGTCAGTCCCATCAGATTCGAGTTATCGCGAATTCACTGTATTTAAAACGGAAAAGAGTAATCAGGGTTCATAGCCAAATTATTAACAAAAAATAAGCACCTTTTTTAAGCACTCAAATAATGCTTTTAAGCAATTAAAAAAATATATAATTAGGCAGGGTTGGAAAGTTTTTGACAATTGGCCATGTAAAAAAAAAAAAAAAAATCTTTTAGCATTGTTTTTAACTATTGTCAAAATTTTTTATGGTGTTTTCATACGCTACGAACTGAAGATGACCCCGAAATAGATGAGGGTTGAATTAATTGTGAAAACAATGAACTGCGTCATCTTGCATAATTCGTAGCGAAAATCAACAGGGTCAAGGAAGAAAATCTCATTTTGTGAAAGGGAAAATTAAGCACTTTTTAAAAACACCCAATGAAAAATGCACCTTTAAGGTCTTTTAAAAACCAAAAATAAGCACTTTTTGAAAACGCTACGCACCATGGTAATTATTTTTACAAGAATCGTTAAAAAAAAAGCTGAATTATAATTAACAACATACTTACTTTACGAATATTATTAGACCTGTCTGCACATAGAGCATACAATCTGTCAAAAAATGTTTCTTCAGCACCCATCAAAATAAGAAGCTTACTCATTAACTGAAAGAAGAAAAAAAACAAATATTAATATGTATCTTTATAACTGATAAGTACAAATAATGCCTGTTTGGAAAAGACTAATTATTATAATGAAAATAAGTTTGAGAAAATTGTGATACTTTTGAAGAGTTGAATATTAAACATACACCTGCTCATCAAAGCTGGCTGTGATATGATGAAGAATTTACACATCACAGCATCAGTTTGACCCGCAAGTATATGCAATCAATCTAAGACCATTCCATTGGATGAAACGACCTCACGCCACTCATCAAAGCTGGCTGTGATATGATAATTGAATTTACACATCACAGCATCAGTTTGCGATCAATCCAAGACCATTCCATTGGATGAAACGACCTCATGCCACTCATCAAAGCTGGCTGTGATATGATATTTGAATTTACACATCACAGTATCAGTTTGCAATCAATCTAAGACCATTCCAAATGATGAAATTAACCTCACTCCGCTCATCAAAGCTGGCTGTGATATGAAATTCTACTAACATATACACACCCACTTTGTGAGAGAAGAAAAGCCACTATGCTCAATTTTATGCGCTTCAACAAATTAATTTTGTTTCTCTTTGTCTCAAAGATTGAGAAAATACAAATGAAAAGGTTATATAAAGAGGTTGTGCTGAATATTTTTTCCTGTAGTCTAAAATGCAGATTTCTATTATGTCTGAATGGCCCAAAAACTACACAATAAATTAAGCGAAAAGTTTTATAAATCTTTGAAGCATTATTTATGTATTTAGTTGTGTTGCAACAGCAATTATTAAAATCAAACAGGGACTGCATTATGAAAATTAAATACATATTTCTGAATGCAATGACTTAATTTTGTTTAGTTGTAAGCACATATCTTATAAAAAGCGAAAGATTAGTTTGATCCTTTAATAAGTGATAAGAAAAAAAACTTTTCGTTTTTTTTTTTAAATCAGTAATTACTTTTATTAACTTCTTTTGCATAGATACGACATTAAGGAAATTAGAGAGATTCTATGCATTATTTTAGGAGAAAAACTCTGCAAATGAAATATATTGTCACGAAATCTGAAATTTTTTCTCTCCAAAAATAGGAGCAAGTATTTAACTAATTTTTTTTGAAATATATAAATAGCACAATAAAGACAAAAATGAAAGGGAGAAAAACGAAGAAATTAAGAAAATTAATAAGTTTTTGTACTGCGCATAAGCTGCAAGTATATAGAACTCATAATATATTATGAGTTCTATATACTCGCAGTAGTTTAATTACTTAGTTTTCATTTGTCCAAAAATACATATTTGTGCGATTTATATACATATAAATAGCACAAATATTAATTTTTAACAAATAAAAACTAAGTAAATTAGTATTTTCAACTAACTACTAAGGAGACAAAAATAGTTCTAGAATTTTAAAGCAAAAAAAAAAAATCTTTTTTTAAATTTTTACTTAAAAAAAATCTTTTATTACACTCTTTACTGCTTTTTATGGCAACAAAAAATCTTGACCTACTATTTCTGAAAGTGAATAACAATCATTTAAAGTTATATTAAAAGGTCAATGCAACATTAAATTTGAATTTAATAAAAAATACAAAAAGTTCTATCGATTCCCAGTTGTTGCACACAAGAAAAGGGTAGAGAATTTTTAATAGATGATTTCAGTGAATGAGGACACCTTTGTATTGAAGCTGAAATAGAACTTGCACTAACTAACTTAACTAGCACTTCAAAACTATAAGAGGAAATGTTCAAAATTATTATGTTTTGGATACATAAATGAATACTTTAGCATAGTACTTTTTATTTTGTAATTCTTATAAGATTGTGTTATATCACTTCTTAGTTTGTTCATATTCATTAAATTTTAAAAAATTACTATAACACAGTTGGAAAAATTTCAGATTTAGCCTTATAAAAAAAAATTATGAAATCCACACTAACAAAGGATAGAAAGACTAATGTCTAAAAGACGATGTGCAAATCTTGTCGATTTATAGTGGATGTGTAAATCTTGTTGATTTAATCAATTTTGATAATTGAAAATACTAGATACAAGGAAAATTAACAGCAATATGTTAAAGAATTTTTATTTTATTTCTGATATTGTAGAACACGAAGGAAAAAAAGCAGTAGATTCCGAAAATAAAATATTTTTAAAAAATTATAAGAGATTCCATATTATTTATCGCAAATAATTCAAGCTATCATTTACGTTTCGAACTAACAGGGGTGATTGTGAGCCCAAGTCAAAATTCCGGAAATTAGAAAAAAAATTTAAAAAAGGGTTTTTTCCTTTTTCTCAATATTTCTTAGTTTACTTAAAATATATTTAAAATTTTACGCATACCTATGATGACCTGGAGAAGTAATTAAAATTTACAAATATGTCTTTCTTTCTTCAGTTAATGATTAAAACAATCATTTACTGATAAAAAATGAATATTAATCATGAATATAAGCTTATAAATTATCTCTCTGGCTCTCTTTTACAAACAAATAAAATAAACTGTGTTTTTAAGTTCCACCTTTGAAAATTTGATTTCCGGAAACTTCTGTGATTGATGATTTTTTTAAACGTCTGGACCTTCGATCTCCGGAAACTACCGGATCACTGTTAGCGAAAAATCCGGAGCACAATCAGCCCTGAACTAATAACAAATATTATCATCACTAAGATAAGAAGATTTTTATAACTGAAAAAATATATATAATAATCATTGAGAATGTAATAAGCTAATGTTATTGATCCCACAAACAAACAAAATAAACATATTACTCACAGCACCTTAAGACGCCCTGATGAGCCTTCGGATCATCAAGATGGCTGTGATATGATTCAAATGTAACAGATCACTGCCAATTTGATGATCAGAAAACTAAAAGAAAGCATCGGATCCAAGTACTCCATAGCCAATAGTGAGATGAAAGAATGCCCATTAAACACGTCAAAGATAGCTGTGATATGGTAAAGTGAATACATTTCACAGCCACTTCGACGTGCATAATGAACACAGGTAATCCAGCAATCCTCTTCCATGAAACCAACCAGGAACGCTGATTCTGAAGATTCAAGTAATCTTTCCGTCAAAGACAAGGTAGTGAGATGGGGAATTAAGACATCTCACTACCCATGTCTTTCACAGTAAAATCACTAAGGTTAAAGAAATATTTACTCAAGCACTCAAAGCAGTTTGGAACTCAGTAAATAAGATCATTTCAACATTTTTGAACACATAAATCATGCAATTAAATAAACAAAACAGCTATATATAGTAAATAACCATCATAGTTTTATTTATAATAGAATTAGAAGCACTGCAATAAAAAATAAAAAAAAAAAAAATAAATAAAAAATAAAAAAAGACAAAATCTAGACCAATCAAAAATTAAAAGTGTCTTACCAGAATTGATTCAGTTCTGATGTCTTCGGGATTCATACTGTCTGTCATATGTAAAATTAAAGGCCATATTTTCTCAGTTTGTGTAGCTAGAAAATCAATTTTCTTTAAATAAGAAATATGTTTTCTAATGAAATAATATATGAATAAAAGTAATAACATTTCGTTGAAATTTCAGTTGCAACACCGGCCATCTCCTCAAATTTTATTAAAAGGCAGTTGATTTTTTTTCTTCCTCCTTCCACAAAATTGTGAAAACCTTTCCATCAAATTCACATATACAGTGAAACTTCTAGGGTTCGATCACTCCTCATTTCACAGTAAAATGGTAGTTGATGGAAGTTGGTTAGTCTTGGAGGTTACCTCCATGGACTTCAAAACTGATATCGAAGGCACATGATTTTTGCGCAAACAATTTCAATTTTAGTCAGTGTCATTTTCTTGGTGTATATTCCTCTTTTGTTAGTGTTATGAAATGACAAATCAATAAATAAAATTTATATTGGGATAATTTTTATAGGTGATACTGTGTAAAAGCAGTTTACTAATTATGCTTAAAAACAAAATAACTAATTATGAATGATAAAGCTATTTTAGATAAATAATTATGCTTCTTATTTAGTTTGAATTTAATCTTATATCATAAAAATTAGTTAGCTTTAAAAGATGAGAAGAGGATTATTTGTTCAAAATGCTTGTTTTTTCTAAAAGAATTTTTTTTTAAATTTAACTTCCAACTCAAAAAGTAAATCATTGTATTAATAGCATCATCTTTAGTGCTCTCTAACTGCAGCCCTTCATGTACCCCTGACTCTTTACATTGATTTGAAAACACACTGCCTTAATGCATCTTAAATAGTGAACTCCTCTATCTTACATTTGCTAACTGTTCCAACAAATCATCTTTCAATGTAAATTTTCCGATTTTGAGATGACAAGTTGGTCAACTTTTTTTCAACATCTCTCCATTTTAATGTATAATAATCTTTCATAAATACAAGCAAAAATAAATAATATGCAAATAATTTGAGTATTGATGCTATAACTCAGTCGTATTGAATTGAAATGTTATTGCTTGCAGATAATCAATTTGATAATAAGTGAAATTAATAAATTACTTGAACAGAAACTAATTCATTTCAAATTGCTTAACAGAATATTTCTTAATAGTTATTAAAATCTTTTTTGCATAAGATTAAAAAAACTAGATCTCACTTTTAACAGTCAACAAAATATGTGATCAAATTATACTTCTCATCTAACCTTTTTAAACTTATCATTAGAAATGATGAATATCATCGAAATTATGAAACATATATAACACCTATCAACGTTAAAAATACCTATGGTAACTATAAACAGGGGTCTGTCCAGACACTTTGTGAAAGGACTGTTTTTGGAAAATTGTGAAAAAATTACTCGTAATTTGTCACATCCTTTCAACCAGGTCCTGCTTTTGTGACTATGTGCAAATAGGGTTCGATTATTGCAAAAAACTTTTTCAAGTTGTTTTTAAATTGTAAATAGAAACAAGATTATGCTCAACACTGTAAAATTATAATTAAAAAAAATTAAATTTTCAAAAATAAACAGCAATTGATGCTACTAAATTAGAGATGCAACATGCAAATATTTGTTATTTAGCCTATACTGCAGAACGCAGAATATTAATTTCGGACGAATAAAGGAAGGAATGCCGAAGACAAAACCTAATTTGTTTACATGTCTTTCTTGTTTTCGCCCCTGGGAAGGGTTTATTTGATTAACAAAACAATAATAAAGATAAACAAATTTGTGAAGGGTTCGATTAAAAGAAAAATTATTTTGCTAAGGGTCCATTTTTAATAAAAAGATATTTTGCGAAAAGATATCTAAACAGACAGACCCCTGATAAATCAAATAAGAATTTAAAAAACAAGTTTGTGGATGCCATTGCAATGGTAACCATGCAAAAATAGTTAGTTTTAATTTCAATCCATTCAGTATATAAATTATAGCAACCAAATCTGTGTATTTAAAATTAAATTTTGTGTCTTTTATTTTGAGAAGTTACTAAATTAAAATATCCAATTAGCAGTGTGAAGTTATTTTCAAATGCCTTCATCTTTCTGTATTATACAGTTAAAAACTGTAAATTCATACTCAAACAGAAAATTTATAGTAATTTGCATAACTGAAAAACAGTCTTCAAATAATAAATATTATAATTTAACTTACTAAAATCAACAAGACCTTGATCTAAAATAGACATTAATGCAGAATGAGAAGACTTCCGTACCTAAAGAAAATACATTTTCTGTTACTTAAAATAATGTAACATACTTACAATAATGTAATAACTATAAAAAAAACACTTACAAGATTGCTCTCATCTCTTAAATAACTTAATAGCATTGGCACCAAATATTGTGAAATAATATAGTTCAATTTAACTTCTTTGCAAAAGGCAGCTATGTGGGGAAGTTGCACCATAAGCTCTGTTCTAACACTAGGATCTAGAGAGAAAAAGGAAAATTTAAACTAAAAAAATATAGTTAGGTAAAAAAATGATGTTTATTTCAGAAAATGCAAACATCTATACATAATAATAAACGCGGCTGTGTGTGTGTCTGTTTGTCTGTAATCACAATATATCGCCCCAGAAGCCTAGCCCAGGCACGAAACTCGGAACTTAATTGTGTTTTGACATAATGAAGTATTTTTTTTCTTTTTCAAAAATTTGGATTAGTTTTTTAATTATCAGTCAGATTGTAAGAATATCTATGCTTTTTAGTCTCCAAAGAGCCATATTCAAAAAACTATTAAAAAATGCATTTACTTTTCACCACTCTTATAAATGTATGCTAATGTGAACCTTACAATTGAAATATTAATTTTCGACAACTTAAACCAATAATATATGAAGGAATTGATCATTTAATTGGGTATACTATAGCCTATGTCACAGGTTGTGTTATTCCTACTAAATTTAACCCATGAACAGCATTTTCTGCGAGCCTAACTTCAAGCCACAAATAAACAAACGAAGTGTTTGATCGTTTAAATAGCTGCTCGCCAGATTTTATTGTATTATAAAGAAAAGTAATTGATATTCGATTTTTGATTAATAATTGATTTATGTGGATAGTGGCATTTATTTGGATAGTGGCATAGAATTTAGCATTGCGTCATGGTAAATGTTATTCCTACTAAGTGGAAGTAGTTGTGTTTTTTTTATATTATACCCAATTGTAAGGTTCTCATTAGTTTACATTTATCAAAGTGGAGAAAAATTTAACTTTTGTATTAAAAATGTGGCAACATATTCAATGTGTAAATAGAACGCTTCGCTTTGATATATTTGATATATTAAAATTTTCAGTTTGAAAATCAAACTGAAAATTCTAACAGAGAGCTCAAATAAATCTTATTAGGCTAAATTAAGCCTTACCTATTGAAACGCAGTGCTATAAGCGGAAGCAGAGAGCACGCCGCACTTTACTATACTCAATACTATTTGTCGCTGTTCATAATTGTTATTATAAGTTATTCTTCTTCTTTCCAAGCTCTATTTTTTTCTTCCTTAAGCGAAGACACTAATTTTTGTAGCGATATAGAAATAGATACCATAAAAAATTTATTTGTTTTCGTGTTCTTTTCATGTATTTAGCATTTAATTTTGTTTTTTTTCTTAAGTGTTGTAGCTATATAATATATAAAATAGGAATTTAATTGTTTTTGAAGGAACGATCACACTTACCTTGGATCTCTTTGGTTTTTCTATTCTTTATTTTAACAGTTTTTATTAAATGTAATAAGTTATTTTCAGAAAGTTTCAGTTTGCAGGTAAGCACTTAGATTTTAATATTGAAGTTTCATGATTTGCTTTCATAGTTTCCTGCTATGTTTTAAAAACTTTATTTGTGAAAACCTTTAGCGTGGCAGACAACTGGCCACCTTAGGCGGCTAGTTTATAATAAAAAGGAAGTAAGGGCAAATAATCATGAGAATATTCACAAGATTTTTGATTTACAAGAAAGTCAACCTATTCTTAAAAAGCTAGGTCAGTCAGTCTTTATTTCCTATTTTATTATTCAAAAGCAACAGATGTATTGAAATAGATTTTTATTTGGTTCAACTTATTTATTTCATAAGTAAAATTTGTCATGAAACTATGCAACAGGTGTCTTATATTGCAGCAAAATGCACTACCTCATGCTCAGTTGTGATGAAAATAATCAGCACTACATTTATACTTCGGCAGTATTTGAAAAGATTTTCTCTAGTTAAAACATACTTTTTACAATAAAACTTAGAACACAGAAATACGAATAATGTAAAGTTTTTATTTACATATACATATTACAAATACTACTTCTACTAACGCCAAAAAAAAAAATTGAAAGCAGATTGTTTGTGAATAATTTGCTACTTCTTTTAAAATATGTAAAAATACAACAAAGAAAAATTAGTCTTCCATTTATATATGCAGAAGCTTGGAATTTAAAAAAATATAACTTCAAACTATTTTCCATTAATAATAATTTAATAAAGTACTATAACTTTTTTTGTATGTATATCAGTAAACATTTTGCCTATCTGGCCTTTGACAACTATAAATGTGCTCTTTTTGTAAAGGCAAGTCACCATCCCTTTACACACAGGTGAAATTATCTGTGCTTATAGGATTAATTCTGAGATCTTTAAATATTTACTGACCTGGCTAAATTTTTAAAAGTTTCTTTATTTCAAGGGGGGATATGTTACTGAATTTTTTAAGTGCTTTGAAATTTTTATTTTTTAAATGCACTTTCAAGTTGCTTATCAATTAATTTCTTTTTGAAAATCATTTATGTTCGAGATTGTCTTTCAGTATGCCTTTAATTATTTTTTATTAACTAAAATTTTTTTCCTGTTTTCATAATGTATTGAGAATAACTTTTTTAAATATATACATAAGTACATAATATATACTTAGTTATAAAGGGATTTAAAAATTATTGAGGATACAACTATTTTACTATTTATATCACGCTACTTATCATTTATATTCTTTAAAAAAAAAAAAATAATAAATAAATAAAAAAATTTTAAAACTGACAGTAAAAAAATATGAAACTTACAAAAATAATCTTAATTTGCAGAAGAAAATAAAAATTATTTGTAAAAGCTCAAACTATTTTTGCTTTCAGTTATAAAATTTTGGTAGCATCAATTAAAATGCACTTAATTGATTACACTTATCCCCTCTAGCATTACTATTTAATCAAAATAATCTAATACTTATCAACAAAACGAATTAAGTATTTTAACTACCTAATAAATATTTAACAATTTTGTATTATATATTTTAACTACCTAACTCTAAATTTACTCAAATATTTCTTTTAACAATCCTTTCTACTTTATATTATGCATTTTAATTGAACATAGACCTTTCAACTACACTAACAATAGATTCAGTATTAATGTACTAATTTGCGCCATCGCAATTTACATATCTTTCTCTGCAACCCCTTTTTTTTTCTATGATTAAGTTTAAGAACTATCACATTATGAATTAGATCCTTGTACCCTGAAATTTACATGACAAGAATATTATAGCCAAGGGAATAAGTCACATTTGAGATAAATCACATTTGTAGGGATTAAGTCCATTTGAAGGGATTTAATTTGTAATCATGTGAACAGAACAACTTCTGAAAATTAAGAAGAAGGAAAAAAAATGGTGCAAAGAACACTGACCGAAAAATAAGTAAGGCGTTTTAAGGATATGTTATAATAAACCTAATGATTTGATAACACCGTTCTTGAAATGGACACTTCCTCGTTTTTTAATAATAAAAAAAAGAAAGGAAAAAAAGAGAGAGTAAAAGTTGGCAAATTATGGGGCGGATTTGAGTAATCGCGCGTTCGTATTTCCCGTAACGGCATTATAATATTTAGTTCTTTTTAACAATAAGCATGTTAAAAAACTTGAAACAGACATAAAACAGCCAGCTTGATGCCTCATGATCAATGATTTAAGGTCTCAGGAACTCAATATGAGATTTAATTTCAACAGCTGATTGATTTAAAATGTGAAATTATGACAAAAAAATGTCCATTATCTTAATACTGTTTTTCGGCGGATTTTGATATCAAAAAGTAGAAGGAGCTATAATTCAGTCAGAAGACTGAGCGAAAATTAGGCCTTTATGTCATAATTTATTAACCTCAAAGATAATTTGCGCAACTTAATATTATTTAAAATTTTATTAACCAAGAATTTGGATTGCAAGGTACAAAATATCTTACATTCTTTTTAAACAATACTATGTAATCTTTAAAGATAAATCCTAACATTTAAGCTTAATTAATTGATTTAGTTTCAGTCTTTCATTTTCTTGGGAAGAATTCAACCCATTTCTGAAGTTTAAAAAAATGCTTTCCCCAATTAAATGGTCAAAACTAACATCTGAAGAAAATACTGGATATTCACAACAGATAGAATCACTGTTATTATAGCTGATATTTTGAGAACACATTAGATTAGTCAAGCTTATGTTATTGCGTTTTTATTATTTGTTTTTTAAATAAACAAAAATAAATCTCTGAGCTTACCTTCTGTTGAATGAAGGGCATAGGTAAGGGTATGATTATTTTCTAACGTGCTATTTCACTAGACAATGAAAGCGAACTTAGCTGTTTGAGTAAAAGGGGGTAGACTAGAAGGACTCAAGTCCAGACATTCGCAACTTTAAATAAACAAGAGAAGAAGAAAAAATGCTGGTGCGTTGAAAGTTAAAACAGGAACTCTGAATTTCAATTGGGTACAGTGAGTCACATGCTATAACTAGGATCTGTCTAAGTTAGAGGCAGGATTTCTGGCAAACTTCGTGTTTTGCTTCGGATTACAAACCAATTGGAAGGTTCCCTTCAAAACAAAATGTGACAGAGAAAGGCTCCTCCTATCCACCAGACAGCAGTAAGTGATGCCAGTCTTGGCACGCCATTAGCGGTCAAAGGACTTCATTAAGTTACTTAACTTAGCTACAAACACCGAAAATAGTACTGCGAATTTTCACGGGGCAGTTTTATACAGAGAAGTTTTAACTTTTTCTATTAATTACCGAGCTTCTATTACTGGAATTCCTTAATCGAGGGCCATTTAAATTTCTGAGAGAGGCGCATTAGTTAACTTACAGTTTTAGAATAGTCTAGCTTTTTTTTTTTTTTTTAATGTCTGTTCTCCATAAATTGAAAACATGCAATATAAATAAAATATTAACTAGTATTTTTTTTTAATCACAGTTTAAATTTTACGAGAAACTTTTCTAATATAGCTAATAGTTCAGCAAGTACCGAAATAAAAATGTATGATCGCACTTCATCAGTTAAAAAGAAACGTTCAAAATAACCTGTAATTAATAATTTCAACCTGCACAATTGTAGAATCATTAAGATGAACGAAAGAAATTTAGTACAATTCTATGGATACAAAACATCAAAAAATACAGATAATAGTGGGTTCTTC